GCGTCCTCCGCTAAGGCTCGAGTGACCTCTTCCCGCCCCACGCGTCAGGTGTGGGATCTGCAGGGCAGGGCGGGTGATTTCTGGGGTGAAGGAACCCCAAGGCTAGAGGGCAGAGACCGGGGAGCCAGCTGTCCAAGGCCGAGGCCAGGTACGGTGGGAGACGCCGGGCCGCGCCGAGCCGGTTTTCTGTTTTGGCTCCCTCCGGGTTTGCTCCCTGACCTTGGATAGTCAGCTTTCTCTTCCGGGGCTTAATGTTCTCATCCTTGAAATGGGGCATTTGAACTCCTTGTCTAGCCAGGTTTTTCTGCCCTAAACTTTTGGGGGACTGCTGCTTCTCTGATGTGTTGGACTTGCAGTGTAATTAACGAAGCTGAGTTAGAAGAAGGAAAGCCGTTTTTTCTTTCCTTTCAGGATATGTTAGGCGCTCAGTTGTTGGTGAGGCTGGCAGGGACTGTGCAGAGATGGGACCTCTGGGGGCTTGAGTCTACACAGCCCGCGACTGGAAAATCTGGTTGCAACGCGGACTCCCAAAGGGACTGTCAGGAGTCTCGGCAGGCACTTGCTCCCTCTGTGCTTTGCTTACGGTTGTGTGAGGCTCCCTGACTTGTGTGCTGAAGACTGGAGCAGGGCTGAGGAGGTTATAAATGGTTAGCATTTGCTCCTGGGGTCCTGGCTGCACCCTCTAGGCCCTGTAGCCTCGGTGCTGGATGAGGATCTACATGGGGAGCCATGGACCCATCCTGACCTCTGGTTCGAGTCCATATAGTTCTGCATGGCTCCTTTCAGTCTCCACCTTGATGAAGCCTAGGAACACCTAGGCAGCCCAGGGAGTGTGTCCTCCACTGAAGTTGCTTCCCTTTGCTGCCTGGTTTCTTCGTCACCTCTCTGGCAGTTCTCTCTGAGTGTGTTTTCCCTAGTGGATGGTGATCCCTGCAGGGGAGGGCTGAGCAGAGACTTCATGTTGCATTCCTGGTTTTACAGTCCAGAGTCTGGCCCTAGAAGCTTCTCAGGGAATGTTTGGGGCGTAGGTTGACGACAGTTACCTTCTCTCAGTAATCAACCTTTTTTCCAAGTGCGGATCTTGTGAATGTGGAACCATAGGGCAATCCTAAGGTTCTGTTCTCGTCCCCTTTCCAGGAAATAGAGGCAGAGGGACGTCTAGTACCTTGCTCCAGGCCACCAGGTGGGAAGTGGTTGGGCTGGGCAGGTTACTTTTAGCGTCACACACAACCTCGGGCGTGTGACTGGAGTCTGCTGATTGGGTCTCCGTGGGCAGCTGAGGGGGCCTGATGCGGGTGCAGTGATTTCTGCCCCCAAACACAATGCTTCATTGTGGGATTTTTGCAACCAGTGAATCCTTCTGTGCAGCCCCGGGCTGAGCAACTCCAGCCTGTGTCAGCTCCTCCCGGCCTTTTCAACACTCCAGTGTTGTGAAGCATCACTGAGAGGGCCCGAGTCCTCTGCCTGGAGTACAGATGTCAAGGTCTGTCTTCCTTGTGGCCTAGTGGTTGATCAGAGGCAGCAGAGGGGCCCAGCCTTGTGGCTTTTGTGCCTCTTGGCTGTCTAGAAGGAGCAGGTGTGCTAAGGCAGGCTGGTAAGTACGCCTCACTGTGCTCTGCTACGACTTGGACTGAGGATGGTCCACGAGGAGACTCTGTCATCCCATTAGAAGTAACGCAGGCGGAGTGGACTGTTTTTCTAAATCATGCCTAGGAATCATGTTTTTTTCTGATCCACTCGAAGGTGATTTCATGAATTAGCTGGAAGGAAACCAGAGCAGGCCCAGAGGTTTGAGAGTGTGGGTGCTATGGGCTGAGACCCTGGAGCCACCTGCTAGAATCCTTCTCCAACACTTCAGCTGATAGGCACTCAGCTTTGGAGAGAGCATGTCTTGACCATGAAACAGGAAACCCATGTTGAGGAAAGGACGGAACCTGGGCTGTGGGCAGAGTACTGAACACCAGGGGAACACTGCCATTGTAGACGCTCCTGCCTCCTCCTCGGGGGATTTTTTATATGGGCACCTCAGGGTAGAACTTGGGGAACCATGTTTGTGCAGCAAGTGCTTTTACCTACAGAGCCATCCCCCTGACCCCATGTCCTTGTGTTCTGAACAGAGCCCCCACGTTTTCATTTTTCAGGGCACCCCACCCTTGTGCAGCTGCTCCCGATGAAGCCTGGAGATAAACAGTGAAGAGGCCAGAAGGCTCAGCTCCTCCCTGAAGGTCAATGGGCGGTGGGACTTGGGGACCAGTTTGGATTCAGGCAGGTGTGTGTCATCTGGATGCCTCCCACCTTCCCCAGAAGCAAATGAATGTTCTAGAGGACTGACCATCAGATGTCTAGAGGACTTTTTGCAGGACTGATGTGTCCTTCGTGGCATTTGATAGAACACATGTCACAGGTTGCAGCAGATTAGTGGCTCCGGAAGTCAACAAGGGAGCCTCCATAAGGAACATCCCCACTTTGGCTGATGAAAGTGGCTAAAGGTGATGCCTGCTGTGCCTCTGGACCACCGGATGCTGGCAGCATTGGCCATGCCTTCAGGATCCTGCAGAGCTAAATGCAAAGCCAGGGCTTGCCCTCCTTGTCATTTCTCAGATAAGAGTTTAACTGCCAATGTCTCCATGCTGGCTTTAGCCACCTGAAAGCCTCAGAGACCAAACCCTTGCCCCAGTCAAAGCAGCTGTCTGTAAATAGTCACACCAGGAGAAATTATCTATCTTTTTTAGAAGGCAAGGTTTTCCTGGTAGCCTACACCTGTCTGAAACTCACTAGGTAGCACAGGCTGGCATTAAACTTTTGATCCTATTGCCTCTGCCTCGTGCACTCCTCAGTGCTGGGATTATGAGCATATGTCAAGAGGCTGGACCGAGAGTATTTTGTTGTTGTTGTTTTGTTTTGACTTTGAGACAGGGTCTTACTGTGTAGCCCTGGCTGGCCTGGAGCTCACTATGTTGACCAAGCTGGTGAACTCACATAGATCTGCCTCTGCCTCTAGAGTACTGGCCTTGAAGGATTTAAAGAGCTAATACACATGGAGTGTGATATCTGTTCCCCATGGCCTTCCCGTGTACTGTTCATTGATTCTTGGTAGTGGGCCTGTGTGGAGAAGTCTGATAGATTTGAAGAAAACTATCTAAAGCTCTGAGGGTGAACAATGTATCCAAATTTACACAAGTACGAGGCTGTGGGGGCCAAAGGGTGAACCCTGAACATGGACCTTGCCTCTTTAGAGAACTGGAATGTAGCCAGACTGTCTGCTAGTTCTCCTCTTCATGGTTGTCAGGACTTTTTGCGTGTAATCTGTGTTTCCTGTTCCCTGGTTTCGGTTTGTACATCTTGCAGAGCCTTGTGGGGAGCTGTATATGTAAACAGGCCTTCCCATAACAAACATAATACCTGTCCTAGGCTTGTTTGCCTGGGCATCTCAGGAAGGAATGAGTGGCGCCTGGTATGACTGATCTGGAGAAGACCCTATGCTAGTAGGGGAATTCTCAGCAGAGGCCCAAGGAGGGTTTTTAGTTCCTTCTTCTCCTTCCGAGAAATTTCCTCAGTAAGATGGGAAAGTCAGCATTCAGACTCCTCATGGTTCTCCCTGGCCTTTAGCAACTCTGGCCTCAGGGAGGGCCAGGGAGCCTGGCTCAACTTCTTTCTTTTGTTGTTTTTCATAGGCAAGTGGAGGTGAGACTCTGCCCCAGCATGAACTGCACTCCCAGAAACAGGAAGTAGAAGCTAGAGCAGCTGTCTGTCTGCTATGGCTTGTGAGCCTCCCACAGATCCTGGAGGGGCAGCTGGTCCCCTGCCCACCTCTACCCTGGGCTGCAACACCCTGCCTCAGGGGAACCCTCCTGGCTGGGGACAAGGTAAGGCTCCCACCCTTTCCTTCTCACTGAGTGCCGTTCTGTGCTGGACTCAACACTTTGTAACTGGGCTCCCTATGTAGCTGGTTGACTTTGGCATTCAGCTTGAGGCCACTCTATCATTTCTACCGGTGTTTTGGACATTGTCTCTTCTTCTTGCTTGCTCTATCCCTACCCTCAAGTCAACCAGGTAAACTTTTCTGCTTTCTGGAGGCTCGGCTGCTGTTCCCTTGTGAACAACATCCACCTCTTAAGACTCTCGGAGCAAGCGCATAGTGAGGGTCCAGCTCTTGATTGTGGATCTCATTAGCTGCCGTTTTTCCTTTCTGTCCACCCTCTTTCGTTTGGTAGTCTTTAGCCAGTCTTATATTTTTATCTAGGTATGGGAGGGTAAAAGGCTTAATAGTGTTGTCTTATCAGGACTTTTGAGTTCTAACCAACTTCCAAATTATGACCTCACTGGGGCTAGTAATTCACTTGCTTGAGGTGACATCCAGACTGTCATCTGTGTGGTCCACAGTCTCCTGTGGTGGCTGTGACCATCTGTAGGAAAGGAAACAGTTGGCCTTCCAAGTTTACCTTGTTAGTAAAAGACTGGGTCACAGTTTATCCCTCAAGAGCTGACCTGTGTTTATTCTGTGTACCACACTCCTTTCAGAAAGAGAGAGGAGAGGCCAAAATTGAAAGCTCTTTTGGACAGGACCTAGACTTTATGGAATGGATGGAATCCTTAAGATTGTAGGTGCACTCCCCTCCTGGCCCAAGGTATGAGAAGGAAGACTGTCAAGGTTGAGGATCAGAGCCCTGTCATTTTCATTTGTTCTGTGTGTCAAGCATATGCAAGGCACTCAGCCAGCTCAGGCAACCCGGTGATGAAGAGACCAGCGTGGAAGTATGGCCCAAATTAAAGCTTGATGAAGTAATTGAACAATTGCACACACACATGCTCATTCTTGATGTGTGCAAAGGAGGCACCAGGGGCCAAGGTTAGTGTCTGAGTGCTGGAGAGCTCTACATGGATGCAGAAGATGTTTGACAGTTAGCACAGGCCTGAAAGCCGCTGTAGCATCCGTGCAATTCTGCAGTCAGAAGTCTACCTCTGCTCTCCCTGAGCTCACAATGGAGGCAATAGAGGGCCATGCTCCTGTCTGGGAGCTCTAGACAAGGCTCCTTCCCCTTCCCAGTGGTACAGACTACACACAGTACTTAGCTTGTGGCCAGAGCTAGCAAAGGTGGAGCCATCTCAATGCCCTGCCTCCTTTTAAGGACCGTTTTGGTTCCATCAGCCTCAGTGGGTGATTCAGGCTGTTGTCCCTGTTGAGGCCAGCTGATCTGTGCCCTGCTTGTTCCTCTTTACCCTGGCCAGCAGCATAGTGTAGGGATGAAGGAGTGGCCATCTAGGGGCTGATGTTTCATGACATCTATTTAAGTCTGATACTTGGCATTTTGCTGAAATTTAAATTATTCAGCTGAACTTCGAGTTCAGAGCTTGATTAAACATCTGCCTCACCAGGCCCCTAATGGAGTTGGTTGCTCAGCCTCTGTTTACATATGCCTTGTGACATTGGGCTCAGGGCTACCCATTCTTTGTGGGATGCCTTTCTGTCCTGGGAAGTTATAAATTACATTGTTAATCTGTGTGGGTCTTAGTTCTGCTTCTTGGGGGCTCCCCAGTCAAACTAAGTCCTTAGGGATTAGGACCAGCTACCATGTCCCTCATCATGAGGAGGTGCTCCCAGCCTAAGGTCAATGCCTTTGGTTCTGAACTCCTGCAGAGGTGTTCTTGTGTAGCCCACTGATGCTGTGGTCTGCTTGCAGAGCTACAGAATGGCCAGGTCCTCACAGTCCTCCGGGTCGACAATACCTGTGCACCCATCTCCTTTGACCTGGGAGCTGCAGAAGAGCAACTGCAGGCCTGGGGCATTCAGGTGAGTGCTGGCTGACTGAGTCTATGTTCTTCTGTCTATCCACCTGTCCATCTGTCCACCCATCAATCTCTTCACAAACATTTCCTTAACTCTTACGCTCTGACCATGGCCTGGTGCATAGGAAATATATTAGAAATATCCTTTCTTTCCAGTATGTTAACTCAGAATGTATGTGTTTGGGGGTGGCCACTCTGTCTAGGCCCTGAGCTGGCTAAACTGTGCAGGGGTGAGCAGGACCCAGTGCTAGTGCTCGTACTGCCCAGAAGGAGCCAGACATAGGTCAGGTAAGCAAGATCAGCCAGACGTGGATGCCACAGTATAGGGCCATACGCAGCACTGGTGGCATAGGAGGATGTATTGAACTTTCCCGTGGTGTGTGGTCACAAAAACTTCATGGAAGACTAGACCTTGACAGGGTTGTTGAGGGATGAATTCAAGTATGCTGGGTGGGAGGAAGGCATTGGAGAGAACAGCGTTTGTGAAGGTTCATGGAACTTACCACATAATGGATATGGTACCTTCAAACAGTGAACCCAGGACTAAACTCCACAGACCCACTGTGTGGATATTGGATCCAGGCTTGTTGCTCAATGCCTGTGCAACTTCAGGCAGGAGACTTAACTTCTCTGTGCTTCATTTTTGTCTGCAAGAGAAGGTAGTGTTCATGCCAGTTCTGTAGGGCTTCTATCAGGATTACATGTGTGATACCAAGGAGCATTTGCAGATGTTCTGGGACACAGCAGGCTCTCAGTGAACCACAGCACTTACTATTGGTGTGGAGAGCAATGGCATGGCTCTTTCCCCAGCACCCTTGAGATCTTCCCTGGCCTAGCCAGTAAATCACAGGCAGGGCCACAAGCAGCTCAGTATAGCCCAAAGCTTTCCGAGTTTAACATGCTGCAGAAAGAAGACTTTCCAGAGAGCATTGAGCCTCCCTGCTCCAGACAAGCTGGCTTTGCCCCACCTCCTTCTCTCTTCTCTACCTGCTTTCTTTCTTCCCTTCCTTTCTTGTGTGGTGTATGAATGTGTATGTATTATATGTACATGCCTATACATGTGGAGGTTGATGTGTCTTCCTGGTTTGTTCTCCAGCTTGCTTATTGGCATAGGGGTCTGTCACTGAACATGGAGTTTGCTGGTCTACCTACATTGGCTGCCAGGCATTTCCCCAAAGCACCTAGCTAACATGGATGCTAGGAATCCAAGCTTAAGTCCTCTTGCTTGGGCAGCAGGTTCACACACTGAACCTTCTCCTGAAACCCCACATCTTTCTTACATTATTGTCTTGAGATTAGTGAAGCGCTCATGCATCTATTGTTATATGTTCTTAGATGACATTTTTCTGCTTTGGGGAATTGTATTTTTGATGATGATTGTTATCATGTGTATGTTGGTGTGTGTGTTTGTGTGTTTGTGTGTTTGTGTGTATGTGTGTATGTGTGTGTGTGTGTGTGTTCCAGGTTTCGTGTGTGGAATGCAGAAGACAACTCTGTGGAGTCTGTTCTTCCCCTCTACCTTTCTCTGGATTCCGAGGAATGACGATGGATCATCAGGCTCACATCACTGGCAAGCTCCTTTACCCCCAAGTCCCTGAGGTGTCCCATGTCGGGATGGAATTCTTAAGTGGCTTGCCTTTGGTGGCTCCTGGTCTATAGGGCTGGTGTGTTCTTCTGACATTCTAGTTTGGAAAGGAAGGTCTGTGCCCTCAGTGCTTGGGACTCTGTGCAGAGTGTCAGATGGGGGGCAATGACAGTGGGCTGAGTGTGAGCAGAGTGTCAGATGGGGGCAATGACAGTGGGCCAAGTGTGAGCAGAGTGTCAGATGGGGGCAATGACAGTGGGCCGAGTGTGAGCGGAGTGTCAGATGGCAGCACTGACAGAAGGCCAAGTACCTGGTGCACTTTCTGCTTTTCTCTCTCCTGAGGTCCCCTGAGCACTGAAAATGCACCCTGCTCGATGGGGCATATACCCCTAATTTTGTAGAAGAGGAACCAAGGTTCAGGGCAGGGATAACTTGGCCCAAGTCACTCAGTACTTGAATGACATGAGCAGAGATTGGTTCAGGGCCTGTGTCTTGCCCAAGGTTGTCCCATGCTTGTCGGAAGGTTCTAAGAGTCAGACTGTATGGTTCCTCTGCGGGTTGCCCTGGTTTTCAGGTTGTCACTTTCCTACAGTTAGACCTATCCTAGGATTTTCAGTCTATGCCTCTGAGCTGCTTCTTCTGCCCTTTAAGGTGCCTCAAATATGCCTTCTCCTCCTCCTATGGTCAGTACTGTGAACTTGGAACGCTTGTTGCAGGAAGGAGGTAGAGAGTGGTTGTCCTGTAACTGATGATGGCTTTATCCTGCATGGCATAGGTCCCTGCTGAGCAGTACAGGAACTTGGCTGAGAGTGCTCTCTTGGAACCTCAAGTGAGGAGGTACATCATCTACAACTCCAGGCCCATGAGGCTGGCCTTTGCTGTGGTAAGTGGTAAAGTGGCCCGCATTGCCTCCCCTTGGCCTCAGGCACGCCAAATTCAGCAGTGTGTCCTGAGGCATTATAAGGGAATGAGGAACCCAGTTGCCTGGGCAAGCCTAGTACCAAAGACATGGATTTGGTGTGGGAGGGGTTAGTAGAGGATGGGATTGGGAATCATAGAGTTCCAGACTCCCGACTCAGTTGGCCAAAACTTTTCTCTCTGGGATTTGGTTTTTCTTTGTTCACAGATAGATATTTCCTGTATTCATAGTATGCATACACACAAATGTATGCATGTAGCTGTGGGTGTACATGCTTGGAAACATATACGAATGCCTACACATCCACATACAGAAACACGAGCATCTGTGGCCAAGCAGTGTGTGAACCTAGGTTATCCAGCTTCTGCTGCTGAACCCTTAACCTCTCTGATCTCTGGCTTCTGTGTTTATGGTCACATGGCCTAGCTGACCCCACCTCCCACCTTTCAGGAGAAGGGGAAGAAGGAGTTAGTTTTTAACAACTCCCTAAAAAGTGCCAGGCTATGAAATGTTACCCTGTTAGCCCTGGAACAGCCCTGAGAAGTAGCCATGGTTATTCTCAGTTTACAAGCAGGTAAACTGAGGCTTATAGAGGTGCCACAGCTTATTCTAAGCCATACTCCAAGGCAAGGATTACTGTGGGGTTTAGACACAGAATTCTTTCGAGAGTGTCCTGCCCTTTTGTGTTTCATTTGACATTGGGGTGAGGAGGGTTTAGGAGTGATGAACCTTGTTATCAAACTTGAGGGCTCACAACCTTTACCCCAAGTCAGGTTCAGCCATCTTCAGTAGGCCAACTAAAAGAGCCAATTAAAAGTGGAGTGCAGAAAAGGGAGATTTAGTCAATGTGGCCACATGAGAAAGAGCCACAAAGAGGTTCAGGTTCAGTAAACACTTCAGTGGTCCTGGAGGGAGAGCAAAGTTTTAACACACATCCCAGGAAGGCCATGCACATCTAAGCACGCAGATCAAGATATGGCCCGCCCACCACCTGCCCTTCATTCTCTGGGCTTCAGTCTCACCCCGTAGTTTGACAAGTTGTTAGAGCCGTGCGACATTTCCCATCATGAGGTTCCTAGCAGAATTTCCATTTCTTTGGAGTCCGTAGTTTCAGCAACTTGATAATCAAATTGAGAGACGTGAGTGTCTCTCTTGAATATCTTCATTTCTGCCAGGTCTGTTACAACCTGTTGTCAAGAATCACTTAATAAGCAGTGAGTAGGAGCCATCCCAGGGTTGTCATGTTTTCCTCTAGGCCCCTGGGAGGCTGTTTGACCCCAGCAGTGGCAAGGATATCCAACGGGGTGCCCATGAGTGGAGCTATGATCCCTGACAGCTCCATGCCTTCTAAGAGGTGTCCTTGTCTTCTACAGGTATTCTACGTGTTGGTGTGGGCCAACATCTACTCCACCAGCCAGATGTTTGCCCTGGGCAACCAGTGGGCAGGCATGCTGCTTGCGACCCTGGCCGCTGTCAGCCTGACCCTGGTCCTTGTGCTGGTCTTTGAGAGGCAGCAGAGGAAGGTGAGGTGTCTGGAGCCCTGTCTGTTCCCTCCATAGGGCTGGGTGGTCTGATCCTTTGTTCTAACTCAGCAGCTCCTTCAGCTACCCTCATGGCTGCATACCCATAACAACAGAAACTTGTGAAGCTAAATCCTCTGTTGTACATTTTCTGCTCTTTTACACACACACACAGACACACACAGACACACAGACACATAGACACACACACACCCTTTCCGTAAGTGCAAAGATTACTGGCTTGTGCCCCCAACTGTTTCTCCCTTCCTCTCCCTTCTCCTTTCTTCCCCTGTTCCCCTGAAAGGTTACTTTGTCTTCCTTTAGTGCTTTCAGTTCACTATCTGATGGCCTTGTGGCTTTGGCTGCTTGCTCACTGGGGCGATTTTGTGTGGTGTACAAAGCCACTTACCCCTTGGCCAAGGAGCAAAGGCTCCTTGTTCTTTTCTTTATTTCCTTACCCAGTCACTGCATATTTTTGCTGTTGGTGTGTTTTTTTTTTTCCACCCCCTGGCTGCCAGCTTCTTTAAGAGCAGTTCCGAGTAGCCAGCATTCCTGCTAGGATTCTAGCTAGCTGAGCTCGCTCATATACCTCCCTGGACCTGAACAATAATTTGTGATTGGCAGGGAGAGAAGGTTACAGCCCACTTCCCTGTAGTACGGGGGCTGGAGATGAGGCTTGGGGAGGTGGTGTTGTTTTTTCTCCAGGGGTTGGTAGGTACATCACCCTCAACCAGGCCTCAGTTAACTCCCAGTAGCCACCTGAGAGGTAGACAGTATGCTTAGAGAGTTATGGAGCTTGTCCTAGATCTCATTATAGGGGAAGAGCCAAGGTTCAGAGCCACGCTCTGATCCCTGGTCACCTTTAGAGAGGAGATCCCTGCCTCCCAGCTCACTGTTCCACTAATTCACAGGCTAGTGTCTGAGTATGCCTGTGCTATGCGTCAAAACTTTTGACGGACAGTAGATTGTCAGAAGTTTTCCATGGTAACGCCTTGTGACTCTGGCCAGAGGCCTTTACAGATAAGGAGCAGCAGGGCTTCAGAAAGGTTTTGGGAGCAGCCCCGGCTCACTGCTGCTAAGGGACTAGGTTAGAACTCAAAGTATGACTGCTTAGATTCCAAGTAACCTTGGCGCCTAGTGTGTGGCATCTAGTGCTGCTGTTATGAATATACACTTTTTTTTTTTTTTTTTGGTTTTTTCGAGACAGGGTTTCTCTGTGTAGCCCTGGCTGTCCTGGAACTCACTCTGTAGACCAGGCTAGCCTCGAACTTTCGAACTCAGAAATCCGCCTGCCTCTGCCTTCCAAGTGCTGGGATTAAAGGCGTGCGCCACCACCGCCCGGCATGAATATACACTTATTTCCTTAAAATTCTGTGGTTAGGAGTCCAGTGTGATTGTCCCTGGGACAGAAATTGGAAGGCCTCCTGGGGGTGTATTTGCTTCTCGACCTCTTCCAGCTCCACTTTAAGGATCCCCCGTGCCTATGTGGCTTCGCTGGGGTATGGCAAGGCCCTGTGTCTCTCCCTCGTCTAAGGTCAGCTGAGGAGCTTCTGCTCTGCTCCACTGTGCTGGTTAACGGTGCATGCACAGGCTCTGGGAAGGGGTTGGATATCTTGTAGACTATCGTTTTGCCTAGCTCAGGATGCAGTCTTTGGGTACTTGAAGAAGCACCTCTTCCCTGCATTCCGAAACCCTGAACCACTGCTTGCTGTTCTGAAGTCCTTAGCAGGTGCCCCGCTTCTGCCTGGCTTGGCTTCATGTTGCCAAATTCCATTTCATGCCTATGTTCACAGGGACAAATTGGGACTTTATGGCTTAATCATTTCTGAAAGGATCTTTGTTGGGCTTTGGTTCGAGTCTGACAAGACAATGCTCCCCCTGGGCTCTGTTCAGGCCTTTGTAACCCCTGTGCTTGGTCTGTAAAAATAAATTGAGCCTCTGGCTCCTGCTGGGAGATACTTCTTTTGAGAAGAGGAGAAAGCAAGCCATCAAGCTCAAGAGGAAGAAGTGAGGAGAACTGGCAGTTCTGTCACAATCATGACTCTCGCAGTCCAGGGGTGCCTGCTGGCTGTCTGGCCTCCTTTTCACCCCTTCTGCTCTTACACGGCTATACTTGTGGAGCCAGGGAGTGCCAGGTAAGGTGCTAGACACAGCTCACAGAGAAGGACCTGCTCTCTGCTCATGGGTGCAGCCAAGGCCTCAGGTGCAGAGCCCGGAAATGTCTCTAGGCTCTTGGGTCACTCAAAACCCTGCCAGGGCCCTATCTTGTGGGGTCCTAGGAACCTGCTTTGTGCTTAGGGCCTGAAGCCGCCTGTGATTTGTTAGCTCTGCAACCCTGGGCAAGGAGAGTTGCATCACTTCTGGACCTCAGTTTCCTCATCTGAAAATAGCTTGATAAGTCTGGCTCTCTCATAGGGCAATTGTGAGGATTAAAGGACTGTTTTATGTGGGAAACACTCACAGTCATACTTGGCATAGCGTAAATGCTCAGTAAGTTGTAATTGTTACTGTTGTTGATTTCGTTTGTCAGTGAGAATAGTTCAGAGAGGTTCAGGAACTAACCTCGGCCACACAGCTGCCCTCAGCTCTTCCTTTAGATCTCAACTCACAGTCTCAAGCCTCTGAGATTTCTCTCTTTGTCACAGGGTGTTTAACTCTTTTGTAGATCAGACTGGCCTCAAACTCAGATCCACCTGCCTTTGCTTCCTGAGTGCTGGGATTAATGGTTCACCCCTGGCTTCAGGGTTCCTTATCAGTATCCTACAGATCTGTCCCTCCTGATCACGCTCCTCACAGGATTAGTAAGCCTGCACCACTTAGCACCTATAAGAGCCTCAAGATCTCCTGCTCTCTCCATGCTCTTTTTACCCTCACGTGGTGAGGGATTAGCCTTTCTCAAGAACAAGAAGGAGAGTGATGCAAGAGCAGAGACTGCCCCAAGCCCATCCACCCAGAGTGCAACACATAGTACAACACATGACATGCCCTTGTGTGTGGCCAAGGTGACATAGTGGAAAATATGACATTTCAGTCCAGGTTCCCTGTCATAGTGACACTTCTGGCCAGCATGTATGGAGTGTCCACCCCTCAGTGGTCCGCAAGCAGTGGCTCATTTTGGCATTATTAAGGTCCCTAAGTCAAGGGAGTTTCCAACTCTGGTTTAAGATGAGGATGTGGAGGCATAGGTGTCATGAGACCTGTCTAGGGTGACTCGGGCAGTGGGGTCAGGATCAGGGTCAGAAACTGAACTCTCAGTGAGTGACTTTCTGACCAGATGAGCAAGACCGACCAGAGTGTGAGTCAGAGCCAGTGGATGCATTCCAGTGCACCATGACCGCTTGTGAAGCCCAACTCTAGACCCCTGTGTGCAGCAGAGTTAAAAGGACATGCTGGAGAATTCTAGATCGATTTCCTTACCTTGTCCATGTCTAGTGATCTTTTTCCATGCCCAGGTAGGCCAGAGGACACGCCCTTGGCCTATAGAGTTTTTTTGTGGGCCAATTGTGTGCTGGGAACCTTGACCTTCTTTCAGTGAGTGCCAGTATTATCTGTCTTCGTGTGACCCTACGAAAGAGCCTCTGCACATTTCCAGTTTTTCTTTGAAGCCTGCTGCTTTGGGGAGCCCTTGGCTCTGAATGGTCCCATAGTTGCCTTTGAAGGCCTTTTGAAGGTCTCTTCTTCAGGCCATCACACTGGTTCCTGTCACAGCTTTCCTTTCCCCTCTCTGGTCTCTGTAGCATCTGCAGCAGACTTGACATTAGCACTCTGGGCGGGAGCAGAAGACAGTGGCTTCTCTGAGGGCCGAATGCTGTGCTGGGAGCTTTAGAAGTGGACCTACTAGCACATGGCTTTGTAGAGCATGCCTCACTCATGGCTTGCTGAAGACTGAGGCCAGGGGACCTTAAAGTTGAGTTCCTGTCTCAAAAAAGAGAAAGGAAAAAAAAAGTAGGTGACACAGAATAGACCGTTTGTCCCTTGCCTTCCCTCAAATATCCACTACATTATGATTTTGTCCTAGCCCTGGGCTAAAGACTTCCTTCACAGCTCAGTGAGCTCTCTCCTCACTGAGGCAGGGGTGCACTTTATTTTTTCCTAATCTACAACCTAAGACAGCAAGACTGTGGAGAGGCACAGGCACTACAGCCAGGAAGCAGCAGGGCGGGGCTTCGGCTTAACTTCTCTCACACTGAATTTGCTGTAGGGAAAAGAGACTTGTCTTGAGCTTGAAGGTTGGTGTGTGTCCTCTGGGAGAGGGACAGCTGTGATGTTCAAGGCTGAGGAACTCCTTGGCATCTTGGAGTCAGCCTTGGGCCTGGCACTTGTCTTTTAGGCTAACACTAACACAGACCTGAGGCTGGTGGCCGCCAATGGAGCCCTTCTGAGACACCGAGTGCTGCTGGGTGTGACAGACACAGTGGAGGGATGCCAGAGTGTGATCCAGGTACCGTGTCTCAGAGTGACCTCTCCTGCTGGCCTGCTTGCAGGTGGCCTTGTGTTCTCCTGACCTGCATTGTGGGGTCCAGTGTCTGCTGCGCTTCTGTGAGTGGCTCTCTCTCCCCTTCCCTGTTTCGTGTCTCCCTGAGGATTCCTTCGCTGTGCTGAATCCCGAGGTTGGGCACTGTAGAAATCAAAGTCCCCATGCAGTATAAGCTTGCACACCCATAGGATGACAGGCGCACAGTGACTTTAAAGGGACAGTGAGAGCTCATGGTAGCCCGGGGCTGCACTGAATGACGTGGTAGGAGAAATGAGCCCGGAGAGGTTGGTGTGATGCTAAGGCCTCGCATGTCTGGCTCAGTAGTTCTCTCTCTCCTTAAAGCAGTTGGGGGATCTTAACGTAGGACATCATTCATGGGTCATGGCTGAGGATGGATTTGATCCTGGCTGCCTCTGCTCAGTGCTTCAGTGCTAAGTACTCAGTGCAGTTGAGTGTCTTAGTCAAGGTGAGATTTCACCTTGTTTCTGGCATTGCAGGGGTACACATTCTTAGTCTACAACTGAAGATAGCAAGGCTTAGGGAAGGAACACAATCTACATAGCCAGCAAGCAGAGCTGGGATATAGCTCAGGCTATGCCTCCTTGGCATGCATGTGCCGCACTGGTCATAGCTCTGCTTCAGGGAAACCCATGGATGCCCCGTGTGTGCCTGCACTGGGTAACTACAAGCTGTGTCTTCTACACATCTGGCAGATGCTTGCTGAGAGCATCCGTATGGCCTAGTAAGGATAAGCTGCTGAGGCTGAGGTGGAAGGAGGGGTTGCGGGTATGGACCAGGATGTCTTTCTTACCTGCGTTCTTCCACTGAGAACACTTGTATCAACAACCTTGAACCTAGCACTGGTTGACGGAGGTATCCTTTGTGAGGATTTTTCTTCTTTGTATATTTGGGTTTCAGACATACTAGTACCCATACTACTGAGGATGAAGGTGCTATCCCTCTGCCTCAATGGACGTGTGATGGCCAAGGGGGCTTGGAGTCTGTCTGGGATGCTCTGTGGGAGGTGGGTAGTTTGACAAACCTAGCTAGTTTGTCCATGGTTGGAGATACTCTGAATTTGCTTGCAAAGCATTTTTCTGGGTTGACCATGTGGCTTAGTGGTAGTGTGCCCACCTGGCATTCTATTCTGAGTTTGATTTCCAGTACCACCAATTTTTCCCCTGCCAGCCATACAGATGAGCTGTAGTCACACTGTTCCTACCGGACAGCAGGTGTGTCATGTGGTTGGTTATCAAAAGGGTGGATGAAGACTGAGGGGAGATTGGGGACAGACTCGGGGTTAGAAGCTCAAGGTCAGGCCACTTCTTTCCACAGCTCTGGTTTGTCTACTTCGACCTGGAGAACTGTGTGCAGTTTTTGTCTGATCATGTTCAAGAAATGAAGAGGAGCCAAGAGGTAAGATGGCCGCCAGCTCCTTTCCTAGGGTCAGCCATTTCCTGGGATCTCAACTTCCTGAGGTCAGGATTGTGGTGGTACCCTGCTCCTGGCAGGCCAGAGCCTGTGGCTTCAGGCGGGATTTGCCCCCACACTTGTTCACGGCAGCCCCTATAGTCACTCAGATTCCAGGTTGTGATGATCAAATGTAAGCACGGAGGCAGAGACCTTCAGCGGTTGCCTAGGACCCTGCTCCTATGGGGCAGAGTGTGATCTTATTGGTGTGCTCACTGAGGTCAGTGTCTAGCTCTCTGTTTGGTCAAAGCCTACCAGACTTAAAGCATGCATGTGGCCCCTTTGTTTCCTTTGTAGTCCTTGCTGAGGAGCCGATTAAGCCAGCTATGTGTTGTCATGGAGACAGGAGTAAGCCCTGTGGTGGAAGGGCCTGAGGACTTGGAGGATGCTCCCCTCCTGCCCAGCACTTCTGGTCCTCAAGAGAGACCACTCACCCAGACTGAACTCTATCAGCTTGTTCCGGAGGCTGAGCCAGAGGTAATGGGGCTGTGGTAGTCACTTAGGTCCTGCCTTGTGGGCCCCCATGTGGTCATGGTCCAGTGATGGCTCAGGTTTTAGGCCCTGGGGTTATAGCTTCTCTGAGTTGCTAGAGACCTTTCAAATCTTATAGGTCAAGGCTATCTTTTCTTTTTTTCTTTTTCTTCTTCCTTTTTTTTGTTGTCATTGTTCACTCCAACACTTTCTTTGTTTTTTTTTTTTTTTTAATTCTGACACTTTCTTTTTTGAGACAGAGTTTTGTTATGTAGCCCAGAGGGTGAACTCATAAACCTCCCAGCTGCCAGGATGGCAGGCTTCATCTTTATACTAGTACTTTAAAACATAGTTAAGGGAATTAGTTTTTCAGACTTCTGGTTGCATTTTTAATACCTTGGCCATTCTTTTTGATAGCTACACTGTAAGGATTGTTGCATGTTGATGAGCTATAACCTATCATCAATTTGGATGAATACTGAACCTTTAAATGTCTATTTCTGGATATGGTTACACATGCCTATAATGTCAACACTCATGAGCTGGAAGTAGAATTGCAGGTCTAAGGCCAGTCTGGACTACACAGGGAGACCGTGTCTCAAATTAAAAACGATCCTGTTGATCAATTAGCAATTACACGTTCATGTACTCATTTGACTATCAAACAGTGTTCATGCATCCATGCATTCATGCATCCATCCATCCATCCATGCATCCATCCATCCATCCATCCATCCATCCATCCCCCACACACCCACTTACTTAATCCTTGTCACCATTTGGATCTATGTGAATACTTTCAGTTCTGGCTTCTCTAGCCCCACAGCCCCTGCCAGGTTCTGCTCTTGGGCTGTGTGTGGTGTCTGGGTCCTTGCTGGCAGACCTGTATACTATGAGGACAGAACCATTCAGTAGGAGTGACCTCAGGTGACATTTGGAGCTTTAAGGATCCTTTGTATTTTCCTTCCATTCCAAGGATTTAGAGAACCAAGGTCCAGCCCAGCCTAGGCTTCCTCTTTTGCCTTGATGGGAGTCTGGGGCTTCACACTAAGGGTATTTAAGAGAAAAAAATGATGGCTGTATCAGTCTCTTCACGTTTTCTTAGAGCATTAAAGACTGATAAGGCCACATGCTTTATTCAAGCAGCTGTGTGTCTGGCTTGACATGCAATACTCCATTTAATATGAACTTTTCAAATTATTCTTTCCAGTTTGCCCAAACCCATAGAAATACAATTTCTCATCAAGTGTGTGTGTGTGCACATGCATGCTTGTTTTGAAAGTAGCTTATCGGTTAGCTAGAGAAAATATAACCTCTACCCAAACCTCAGTGTGGGCAGCTAGATCATCTGTGTCTGGAAACGACCAGTCTGTGACAGATGCAGAGTCAGAACAACCTCTCACATTTTTACGGATTTGTATCTTGTAAAGCATCCTTCAGCATGTCCCTGAGGTCTGCTTCACCTTTTCTTCTTCGATGGGGAGAGGGAGACTTGCCAGAACAAAGGAGAAGACAGGAGAGTTGAGTGCAGAAGCCTCCTCCGTGGTCTCAGTACAGCAGCTGGACTGGTTGGACTGTAGGGCATTGTATTATTGATCTGGGACTATATTGATGCAGCCAGTCTGGGTTAGTGAAAGGTACATCATTTGCATTTTCAATATCCTCTAGCCTAACATAAAAGACAACTTAAGAAAAGCCAGTCCTAGGGAGCCATTCAGAATTAACTGCTTCCTGTCCAGGACCAAGTTAGGAACTTTCTTTAGTTTTTGTTTCTGTGTTGTTTTGAGGTAGAGCCTCACTCTGTACTCCAAGCAGGCCTTGAGCTCAGTCTGAAGTCCAGGCTGACTTTGAATTCATAGCAACCTGTCGGTCTTAGCCTCCAAATGCCAAGATTTTAGGAGTGAGCCTGGCTTCTGGTACGTACGACTGCTGATGGATCCAGTGATGTTTACTGAGGGAGACTAAGAGCTTTTGCTCCTGCAGCCTCACCCACCTCTCCACAGTACATGTCACCAGTGATGACAGTCCCTCAGCCAGCAGGGACTTGCCCAGTGAGCAAGGGGTGGAGGAGCTAGGATTCCTTTGTGCCCTTGAGCTCAGCACCTGTTTTTAATTACCTGCTCTGCACACACAGCCTCTTGGGAACCCACACCGTCTTACTGCATTTAGGTGGAGACAAGTGAGGGGTTTAAGCCTCTTCTCTGCATTCCCAGTTGGTTGGCCAGTGAGTGAAACTTCAGACTACTTGTGTTAAGAGAATGCATGGCATCCAATTTCAAGATTTTTCTTGATGCTTTGATTCTCCGTGTCTGTTGTGTGCTGTATGACTTTCATCACCATCCATCTTTCGCGTGCTTCCTCTGCTGGACCCAAATTCATTTCACACCGACCGCTCCTCTGCCCACTCTCCTCTGCCTTCGCTCTAACCTGGGACCACTGCCTCCTTCATGTGCAGTACTTTATTTTATCTATCTATCTATCTATCTATCTATCTATCTATCTATCTATTTATTTATTTTCATAAGCAAACTCTTTTTTTAAAGATTATTTTTATTTATATAAGTACAGTCTAGTTATCTTCAGACACACCAGAAGAGGGCATCAATCTCATTACAGATGGTTGTGAGCCACCATGTGGTTGCTGGGAATTGAACTCAGGACCTCTGGAAGAGCAGTCAGTGCTCTTAACTGCTGAGTCATCTCTCCAGCCCATAAGCAAACTCTTAATATATCTGGTAGAAAGATGTCTCTGTCTATCAGGCACCATGTATGACCTGAAGGTCTCCTATCATGGGACACTTTCCCCCATCTGGCCCCAATTTGTGATTTTCTTGAAGTGAGTTGATCTGACCTCATGGACCTTACTGACTCACGACCTTTTGAAAGTACAGAGAGGGTGTAGGTGGTGTGGGAATGGTACTTCTCCCACACCCCATGGTTGCAGATCTTCTGGGGGCATACCAACATTCCTGGCGTTTGGAATGGAACGAGGGCATCAGGCATGCTAAGTGCATGGTTTGCTTCTGAGCAGAACTCTTAGTCTTTGTGTGCCTTGTGAGTGAGGGCCCTTGGGGATGATGGAGCCCAGGCTGCAGCAGCTCCCAGCCAGTGAGTTTCAGAGTTGGGGTTCTAGACCAGGCTGCATTTTCTAAGAGCCCCAGGTACTGGTCTGGCTTGGTCTTCCTATTGAACCTCCTTCTTGGGCCTAGGATAGGATGATGGTTTGGGCTTCTCATGTGCCTAAGTTCCTGCCTACAGGGCTCATGCTGCTTTCTCCTCCCCCCTCCCCACCTCTCGCAGGAGATGGCCCGGCAGCTACTAGCAGTGTTTGGTGGCTACTACACCCGGCTCCTGGTGACCTCTCAGCTCCCTCAGCCAATGGGAAGACGACACATGGACTCTGCAAGGATCCCATGCCCCTGCCAGCTCATAGAAGTACACATTCTGGGCACAGGATGTTGCCCATTCCTGGTCAGGTGACCTAGGGATGAAGATGCTCATCTTCCTCTAAGACTGAGAAGTGGGGGAGGAGTCAGGAGCCCAGCATGGCCAACAGTGAGCTCAGATGAGGTCAGCATTTGGGGACACTTTGGCAAGTGTCAGTCATGTAGGCCTTGTGGTCATCAAGTGCACACCAGATGCCTTCTTGGCATCATATGCTTGGCCTTGCTGAGTCCGGTGGCTGAGCTGGAGTTACCTGGGCTTGGCGGCTTGGATGAAGGATCTTTTCAGTTGTCTGCAAAGCCCCAGGGACCTGCGGCAGACTCCACAGGGCAAGTCCCGGACCCTTGGTGTCAGAAAGTGAGACTGAGGCTCAGAGAGAGAGGATGCTGCTCTTTCAGCATTGCCTCAGGCTGCCGATGTCACAGGCCTACCTGTTTTCAGTGTGAGGGAAGAGTCTCAGAAGGGTGAGCTAGCCTGTGAGTTAGTACCATCTGGGATTGTTGTCTGCTAGCACCTGGGTTATAGAGGACCAGAGTTGGAGGACAGCAAGGAGAAGGAGACAAAAGGCCAGTGACCATCAACAGGGCACTGGAAAAGAAGATCCTGTTGGACTCAGACTGTCTTTGCATGGCAACATACTGGCTTGAGATTGTGTTTCTGTCTTGCCGAGCAGCAGTGGTGTTTTCTGACACTAACATTGTTCTGGAATGAAGTATGATCAGACACTCTGGGCTTGTGTGAAGAACTCAGAGACTTTCCCAAAGTTTGATGACTGTCCACAGCCCTATGCCCAAAGCCCTGGTCTGGTGTGAAGGTCCTACTCCAAGAACCAGCCTTTGTGGTTTTTGTCCCCCACAAATCATCATTATAAGTTGGAACTCTTCCTTGAACTGACATATGTACTCATTCCTGTTAGACTCTTATTCATCCCGCAAAACCCCACTTTCCATGTCCTTCATGCTGTCCTCTGCCTCATTGAAATTCCTGATGGATTGTTCCCCTTATGGATGTTTTATGTTATTCCATGTTTCTCCTGTACATATCCCTTTTTCTATCAAGACTGTAAACTCCTCAAGGTCCAACATTGTACCCATCTTCCTTTTGTGGATGACCGGGACTTGCTTAGAAAAAAAAAATCTGAAAAGTCCCATGGATTGGTTGCCTTACCCTCTCCACCGTTTGTGGCACATGCTTCTGGCAAACATGGTTGAATGATAAGACCCAGGTCATGATGGACTGGAGGTCTGTTCTGGAGCTGTGTTACTTTGTGCACCCTCCATTTGTCCCTCTCTACAGGCTGGATGATCTTGGTCGTTTCCAGCTTGTGCTGTTTGTTAGTCTCTCCTCCGTGCACCAAGTGCTCCCCTGACCCCAAGCTGAGGTGTCATTGGAGGGAGCCTTCAGAGGGAGCACTGGCCTCCCTAAGCTGGTAACCTGGATTCTCATTGCCCACCTGCCATCTCCAGGGCTGTGTGACCACGGCTGAGTGCACTGCTTCTCAGTGTGTCCACTGACTCCTGTATAGAGTGATGCAGTGGACCGGAACACACCACTCAGGAGATTTTCTAGGTGAGACATGTCCTACCTCTTTGCGTTCTCTGTGTCCAAGATGGAGGAGTCCCCCAGCCATGAGCCGGGGCAGCTTTGCTCCGTGGAATCATTCACCGTCTTTTGAGCCAGTCACTGTGAAGTTGATCAAAGGAAGCCTGTGCTTGTCCTCTGGTCACAGAGCTCTTGAACATAATGGTGGAAAATAAAACTGTTTAGTGAATGGAGCAGCTTGCTTATGGAGGGTTGGTATGGTCCTTCCACATCTTCCCTGTCTGCTGGATGGGACTTATGGGGTGAGCCCACAGTGGACCTTTCTTTGTGTGTGCCTCAGTTTCCTCCTCTGTAAATCCTTGTGTCTGCTTTACAAAGTTGCCATGAGAATAAACTATCCAGCTTTTTTTGTAAATTATGTTTAAATCATATCCCTGTGCACGTGAGTTCTGGGAATTAAACTCAGGTCGTCTGTAAGAATGGTTCATGTTTATACTTCTGAGCCATCTTTATAGCCCAGTACTCCTAGGTTCTATACCCATCAGAGACAGGAGGCATGGGCACACCGCCATGCAGGTAGGAACATTCAAAGCCATGTAATACCTGCCATCTTATATCTGTCCCATCAGTCACCAGGGAGGAGAGCACATGCCTGGCAGATGTTTCAAACTGAATGGAAACAACCTTCAGTGCTTGTACCAAGTCACAAGCTGGAGAGGGACTCAGTAACCTGTTGCGGTCTGTCTTCTTGCTGTCTGGTGTACAATAGGTGCCCATATGTGTTTTGACTCTTGCCTCATGCTCAATTATTCCAGCACCTCAGGGGTCTGTATGCAAATAAAGATTTGTCAAATCTCAAGTTCAGTAAGGGACCATGTTGTGGTGAAGGGAGGCTGGGAGCAAGCTGGTGACCTTGGGTCAGATGCGAGCCTTCTATGTGCCTCTCACTTCCTCATCTGTCAGGACAGATGTTGTGTAATGAGGGGACTGATGGAGACATTGTCACAGAACCCACCAGGCCTGTTTGTTCCCTGGTGTGTCCCTCTGAGGATTCAGCCACTGAGAGGCTTTATTTCACCGCGGTGTAGTGTTGGGGCTCAAAGTCAGGCCTCTTGCATGTAAGAACACTGAGCACATGCTGTCTCTGAGCCCCATCCTGGCCCTCAGTGATGCCTCTTTTCCTTTTAGTAGCTGCCAGATGGCTTTTCTACACGAACACAAACACCCGTTATTAACAGGTTGTTTAAATCTGTCATTAATGATTTTTGGTTAGTTTGTTCTGCCTGTGACCGGTGAGAGGAAACTCTGGCCATGACTTGTAGATTTTTGCATTTATTTTATTTCTAAATATTTCTTTAAAGTTAGGGTCTCATTTAACTGAGAGGGGGTCTCACACTGTCTGCATAGCTGAGGATGACCTTGAATTCCCAATCATGCCACAACCTTCCAAATGCCAGGATTATCTGTGTGAGCAGTGCTGGAGTGGAACTCTGGGTCTTCTGCACGCTAGGCAAACACCCTACCTACCACCTGAGCTACCGTCCCAGCCCTCTTGACTTCTGACAACATTGTGTGTTTGTGAGTGTACACATGGATGTGATGGGGTGCATGTGCCTGCACACATGAGAGTCAAAGTCAGAGGGGGACATCAAGTGTCCTGCTTTGTCATTCTCTTCCATATTCCCTTGAGACTGGGTCTCTCACCGAACTTAGAGCTTGATAGGCAGCCAGCAAGCCCCAGCAATACTGTTTCTTCCTATTGTGCTATGCCTGGCTTTTTAAACATGGATGCTGGGCCTGTTTGTGTGCTAACAACTATACATAACTCTAGTTCCAGACAGAGGATCTGACACCCTTTTCTGGTCTCCATGAGCACCAGGCATGCAAGTGGTGCACAGAAATACATACAGGCAAAACACCCATACACATAAAAAAAAAAAAAACAAAAACAAAAGAAGAAGAAGAAGAAGAAGAAGAAGAAGAAGAAGAAGAAGAAGAAGAATAAATAAATAAATAAATAAATAAAGAAAGAAAGAAAGAAATAAAGAAAGAAAGAAAAAGAAAGAAAAGACATCTTGGATGCAGGGGATTCAAACTCTGGTCCTCAGGCAGTGCTATCTAACTATCTGGATTTTTTTGAGACATAGTTTCTCTTTGTATCCTTGACTGTCCTGGAGCTTCCTCTGTAGATCAGGCTAGCCTTGAACTCAGAGATTTGCCTGTTCCTGCCTCCCTAGTGCTAGGATTAAAAGCATATGCCACTACTGCCTGGCTGGTTGTTGGATTTTATAATAAAAGTATAATTAATTTTGTAAGAAGCTGTTAAGCTGACTTTCGGGTTTCCTAAGCCACCCTGCATTGCTGGTAGCTGTGGCTTAGAGTTCTTGTTCTGCTTCTTTGGCAGCATTTGGTGTTGTGGCTTTCCAAGTCTTGGCCATACTGACAGGTGTGGTGTTGGAGCTTCTTGTTTTAACTTCCAGTTTTCCACTGGCAGACAACGTTGAGGCATATACTCACGGACATGTCTTTTAGTGGTACGTCTGTGAAGAACTTGGCTTGTCTTAAAATAGGGTTGTTTTCATATCGTTCTAGTAGTTCTTTAGATACTTTGAGCCACGATCCTTTTACCCAGTGTAGTTCTTGCAAATATTCTTTCCAGGTTTGTGGCTCTTACAGCCTTATGGCACAAGAAGCTTGCCACAGGGATGTCTTTATTCTAGGAGTTTCTTGGTCGGTTATTTGGGGGTTTCTACATCAACATTCTGGCTACCTGTAAACAAAGATTTATGTCTTCCTGATCTATGTCCCTCCTGTTTCCTTTTCTTGCGGAGTTAGCTAGGAGGACTCCCAGGATGAAGCTGAAGAATAGCAGCAGGAGAGAACATCCTCCTTTTGCTTCCTAGTTGGGGAACTTTCTGGTTTCTAACTACCGTGTATAGCATAGCTGCCTTTTGTTGTTATATTTCCTCAAACCGTGTAGGTTTTCTTCTCACGGTTTACTGAAAAGTTTGTCTTTTTTTCAATTAGCGATTGATTAGTACATCTTCAGTTTCAAGTATCCGGGTTCTTACACCTCGGTGTCGCCACTGTGGATATGTAATAGCTGACTTCTATTGACCACAAATGAGAGTTTATTTTTGAGCTCTTCATTCTTTACACCCGCATCCTCAGCAGCAGGCTGGCACCACCCTGCGTTGCTTACTGTAACCTTGTGATAAGTTTGGAAAGAGGATGTGTGAGTTCTCTAACTTTATTTTTCAAAAATTGTGCTGGATTTTTCTAACTATTTTTCATTTCCTTTTTTAAAAATTAATTATTTTATTTATTTTCATTCCAGCTGCTGCCCTCCTTCCCAGTGCTCCCTCCTAGTTCCTCACCTCATTCCCCCTCCCCCTTGCCTCCAAAAGGGTGCTCCCCCATCCCCCTTCCCTGGGGCCTCAGTTATGGGCATCTTCTCCCACTGAGGCCAGACAAAGCAGTCCTCTGCTATATATGTGTGGGAAGGGGGAATGATGGGAATGTGTGTGTGTCCTTGGATCATCCCGTGTATGCTACCTGGTTGGTGGCTCTGTCTCTGGGATTACCTGGGGGTCTGGGTTAGTTGAGATTACTGGTCTTCCTATGGGGTCACTCTCCCCCTTCAGCTCCTTCAACCCTTCACCTAATCCCTCCATAGGGGTCCCTGACTTCAGTCCAATGGTTGGTTGCAGTATCTGCATCTGTCTCGGTCAACTGCTGATAGGGTCTCTCAGAGGCCAGCTATGCTAGGCTCCTGTCTGTGTCCCTGGTTACGGCAGATCTCCTGGGAGACAGGCAGGCTGTAGGCATAATAGCTGAATTTTTAAAAGAAAAGCATATGATATACTACATTACATCTGAAGTATTTGGCGTAAGCATCCTTTTGGTTTTATTCGTTTTGTGTGCATTTTTGAGACAGTGCCTTAGTCAGTCTTCTCACCACTGTGAGAGGACACTCCATTGTGGAGGAGAGGGGCTTATTTTGGCTTACAGTTTGAAGGTACAGTCTTTTCTGGCTGGGAGTGAATGGCAGAGTTCTCAGAGGCTGGAGTGTGTCACTAGGACTCTGCGTGTCCTAGTGTTACAGGAAGCAGAGAGAGGGGGGATGGTGACACTCATCCAGATTCATCCCCTTTACCTGTTTGGACCCTGTGTTGGTGGCACCCATAATCAGGGTAAAACTTCCCTCTTTGGTTAACTCTTCCTGGAAAAGACCCCATGGACACACCCAGAGGTGTGCCTTCTAGGTGAATCTGGTCAAGTTGACAATGAAGATCATCACACAGGATCTCATAGCATTGCCCAGGCTGGCCTTAAACTTGCAATCCTCCTGCCTCAGCTTCCTGCATACTGGGATTACAAGTCTTATTTCATAGTGCCTGGTTAAAATATATCATCTTACAGTTTTTAATTTGTTTGACTTTCCTGAGATCAGTCAATCACCACCCCCCACCTCCAGTTTTGTTTATTTTGGTAATTATCATTTTAGAGCCCTCTGAGAGCCACTTTGATTAGTGGTCACCTGATGTCAACAGTATCCCTGAGGTCTGTCATGTGAGCACTTGCACTGTTCCCTGGGCAACCAAAGCCCACGCTGTCCTTCCCTCTGCCTAGGAGACTGTTCTTGTCAGAGCATAGTTCTCTGTATTTGAGAGCACAACAGGTATTATTATAAATGCTTATAGTCAGTATTCATTTAGGTTTAACCATGTTACCTCTGATTGCTTTTTTTTCACCTTTGAAAGTTACTGTTTTTAGATTCCCGTACTTGTGTCTGTGTCTCCTCCTCCTCCTCCTGGGGCTAACCTTAGAGCTTACCTTAGTGCAGAGCAGTGCTTAGCAGCATATTGAGAATTCCCTGGATTAGCCTTCTTTCAGTACAGATCTTACAGTGACATTTTCAGTATTTGCTGAACTGTCTCAATTTTTTCTTGAAGATATTTTTTGTTAAGAACTCTGCTTTTATTTCATGTTTCTTTTCTTTTTTTGTAGATGTGTTAGGATTCTCTAGGACTGATAGAATGAATGTGGGTGTGTATAATTGTTATGCTATATGAGGTAGTCCATACACACACTTATGTATATGTGTATGTGTGTGTGTGTATCTATCTATTTATCTATCTATCTATCTATCTATGCATCTATCTTATCTATCCTATCTATCTATCTTATCTATCTATCTATCTATCTATCTATCTATCTATCTATCTGGAGTTTGTTGGAATGACTTACAGGCTGCAGTCCAACTTATAACAATAATGGGTAGCTGTGAATGAGAAGTCCAAGATTCTAGTAGTTGCTCAGTCCCACGAAGCTGGGTGTCTCAGCTGGTCCTCTGTAGGCTCCAATGCTATTAAAGGAATGGATGTGCTGGCAAAATGAAGGCAAGCAGGTAAAGAAGGAACAACCCTTTCCTTCTTTCATTGTTGGTATATAGGCCTCCAGAAGAAGGGTTGACCCAGATTAAAGGTGTGCCTCAAGATTTGGATTAAAAGCATACATCTATCCAGATTAAAAGTGTCATCCCACCTCAAGATCTGGAACAAAGGCCTGAGCCTTCCAGCCTCAAGATCCAGATCAGAAGCATGCTGTCTTTCTGTCTCAAGATCTGGATTACAGGTGTACCCTCCTCCATTTCTGGATTACAGTTCATTCCAGATACAGTTAAGTTGACAACAGAGATAGACATCACACTCAATTCTAACCTTGTGTTTTTATGTGAACTGTTTTATTTCACTTGGGTTCTAACCCTTCAGGGATTTTAGCTGAAAACCTCTCTCTCCTCTCTCTCCCTCCCTCCCTCCCTCCTCCCCCCCCCTCTTCTCTCTCTGTGTATTTAAAGCCAGAGCTCCTTTACCAGTAATCGAGTAATCGTTTATGTCAACGCAGTCTGTGTAGAAAGTTCTGCTAAGCTTTGCAGTCATGTGGATTCTACTTAGCGTCTGGCAGGGGCTGTGACAGAAGCAACTCTCTAATATGTTTAAACACATGTACAAAAACCCAACAGCTTTGTACATTGCTGTGAGTGAGGAGGTTTGATCAAGTTTAGGCTGCTTTCCCATAATCAGACAAATAAGGCTTCTCTGGCTTCCATGAATCCAAAAAATATATAGCACTCATGCTATGAGCCCTTTGACAGAGTAGCAGGATGAGTGCCTTTTCACAAACCTTCTTTGGAGGGGCTTCTAAATTAAAGAATCACGTTTCTTTGTTGTTCAGGGCACCCACCATCTGTTTCAGGAAGGAAGTCAGAGACACGAGTCTGAGGTGTGCTGGAGAGAGGAGGAAGACTGGTCTAGGAAATGGTACAGAATGCCACCTACCACTACTTGATGAATCCAGGGGATCTGTCATGAGAACTGTAGAGGAAGAGGAAGCTGACCCTCACTGAGGCCCAGGGGAGTGGACTATATGTCATAGTCAACTGTTAGCCCCCCCACAGGCCATAAACCAATGGTGTCCATTCCCTATAGCCATTCTTCTGGTATGCCTTCTAAATATTCCCTACATCCCTGCTTGTTTTGGAAAGAGTCTTGCTACATACCCCAAACTGATCTTTAAATCGCTCCCCTCCCATGTCAGGAATGCTGGGATTACAAGCTCACATCACCATTCCTGGCTCTCACATTTTTTGGCATTCCTCTTTCTCCTTCTATCTTCCTCCCTCTCTCTCCATCGTCCTCTTCAACAGTCCTCTCCCTCCATCTTCTTCCTTTCTCCCGTGGACTCCTCTAACTTTACAGCCCAGAATGAAACATCTTGTCAGCTTGACCTCAACACTATGTGGACCTCATTCTCTGTTTTTCTTTCCCACGTGGTCTGAGTTAGAATTGGTCAACTATACCCAAGAAACAATGTGACAAGGCCTGCTTCTCCAGCCTCACATGCTGTTGTTGTCCCATGTCATGTTTGTGAGGTTTTCCCACCGATTCGGGCAGCCTCTGTATTTATTTCTGTATTAGGTCTAATACCACTCAGTCGTTTGAATGTGGGATCTTGTAGTGTTAAAAACCGTCGGCGCTGGTAAGAGATGGCAGTAAGGAAGGAGCAGTGCTAGAAAGATTTGTGAATATGTGAGCAGCAGATAGAGGAGCAGCCCCACCTAAGAGTGAGGACCGAATCACAAACCTAGGATTGGGAGCCAGAGCCAGAGCTTTTATTGTTACAGAGAAATTTTTTGGCAGGAAGCTTTAGAAACATGCCTTCTTGGGTACTATTACAGGAAGATGTTTCATTGGAGACACTCCATTTGTAAGGGACACAAAGAGAAATGGTTGCACAGTGTCTCCAGTCCCCATTTGTTGCCAAACCCTGACCTAATATGTCATCTAAGATGAAGGATCCTAAAAGTCAGAAAAGCTACAAGAACCCACAAAGCAAGCATTCATTCTGGAACCAGGAAAGGAAGTCCTTTCCTTCTGTATCTGTAGCTTCAGCTGTTGACAAAGCTAAGTTCATTGCCCCAGCTGCCAACAAAAAGTTGTTAAAAAGCCTCAGCTCCGTTTTTGAAAGCAGGCAATGAACAGTCACTCCGGGGGCAAGAATAGTGTCTAGGTGTCATCTTCTCATTGATGAGGGGCAGCATGATCAGAGGGATTAAGAGTGTGGACCCTAGAGTTAGGCTTCCTGAGTCTGAGTCTCAGCCTGCCACTTACTATTAGCAAACTTTAAGCCATAATTTACTCCCTCTAGGCCAGTTTGCTAGGATGTAAAACCTGGGTAGTTTGCTAACCTGTTAGCTTAGTGTACTGGCTCAACTGCTATTCATAGAGCACTTAGAGGGGTTCCCAGCACAGGGGAAGCTGTAGCCAGGCTTTCCATGATGTTTGTATGACTGTACTCAAACAAATACAGTTCACACTGCAGAGTGACTGGCTTCCCGTGATTGTTAATCTTGACCCACAATTTGGCGGATTTAGAGACACCAGGGAAACACATCCCTGGCCTGTTCAAGTAAGGAGGGAGGACCTACCCTGAATGTGAGCAGAATCATCCCAGGGTCTGGGGGTGGAGACTAAATAAAAAGGTAGAAAGAAAAAAAAAGGAAGTGAGCGAAGTACCAGCCTTCACCCCATCCCCATCCTACGGATGCAGTGTGGCTAACTACCTCATCCTGGTGCTGGTGTGATAGGCTATTGTATCAAGATAACCTCTTTCTGTTGCCTGTGTCAGGCATTTTGTTACAGCATTGAGAAATGCCATATGATTTTCAGCATAGATGTGTACATAGTTGTGTGACACAAACTTCATGTCCCTTTATCTGCCTCTCAAACTGGGACAGATGTAGGGTGTGTGGATACAGGGCGTTGACTTCCTATTCATCTTGTTATCATCTGCTGGGCATTCCCCAATTTCATGTTGAAGTCCTAACTCTGTTAGTGACAAAGGAGTTGGGGGCCCCTTGAGAAGGGATTAGGATTAATGTCCTTATAAAAGCTAAAGACTCCTTGTCCTTCTACACAGCGAGAAGGAGCCTAGTATAAGGAAGCACACCCTCATCAGCTACTGTGTCTGTTGGTGCTTAATCTCACACTTTTAACCCTAGGATCCTGAGCAGGCCGCGCGTTCCTGTTGCGTACGCGCCATCCTTTTATGATACACTATTACAAGAGACTGAAGGGGCACAGATTCAATATTGTAAAAAACCATTCACCTGGCTGTGTCATTCTGCAGCTGTGGCCCCTCATCACCTTCATGGCATTCTTGGACACAAAGCTTTTGTTGCCTGGCTATTTCTCTTACCACCACACCCTGGTGCAGACTTTTACTTGAGTCAATACAGACTTTGAAGCTTGTGACCCTTGCACCCTTTCCCAGGTTTGTTCCCAAGATTTTCTGATTTTGTTTCTTCTTGGATTGCCCAGTTCCCTTTTAACTTTCAGAGACTTCAAGTATTGACTTCTCCGGGAGGAAGCCTTCACTGAACCCTGAAGTCAGGGCTAAAATGTTCTTTCTTCCTTTGCTTCCAGAGTTGCCCTATTGTATCAGAGTGGTAGGCTTGAGATGGAAGCCACTGGAGGGCTCCTGAAGTTGACAGTGTTCTATCCCAGATGCACTGTGCAGTGCTGGGGCTGTTGATGACAGGGCTCTCCATGATCAGCACCACTGTTCAACATGGTCTTGAGCATAGACGGGTCTCACAGTATGTGAGCAGAATTGTGCTCTCTGCCTTGAGATGTTTACAGTAGTATCTGTCTGCACAAGCCTGCCCAACTACATTGCTTTCCTGGGTACTTGACAGGAACTTAAATGTTGCAGAATAGTAAAACTATCTCTCTTACAAGAGATGACAGGTCGAACTTATTCCACATCTCAGAAGTAGGCTGAGAAGTGGGCAAAGAGGAGAAGACACATCCTCTGATGCAAACAAGAATTTTAATTGCAGGCAGCCCCCCTCCTTGGCTGTCAGAAGCTGGGGTGACTCCTGCTGGTGGCACAGGGATGGCTCAGACATCTTCCCTCCTTGCGGTGGAGTTTCTGAATCAGTCTTCATGACTCCTGTCCACTGCCTTCTTCATCCTCATGGAGACCCTCCAGCAGCTGCACAGCTCAGAGACCATGGCCTGCTGCCACTAAAACCTTCAGGGTCTCCTTAAACTACATAGCCTAATTATTGACCAGTCATTGGACTTCAATGAATGTCTCCTTTGAATACCCCTTTGATGGCCTTTTATGTTCTTATCTGAAAGAATGGAGGAGAAAACATCTGGGATAGAGCTTCTATTATGGATAAAAAGTCTAATTATACCCTACCTGATTGTTCATGCTCTAAAACCTGGTCTGGAGACATAGCTTAATCAGTAGAGTGCTTGCCTAGCATGCAGGAAGACCTGGATTCAGTCATCAACATTGCATTAAATGGGTGTGAATGGTACATATCTGTAATCTTAACACATGGAGATGAAGGCTGGGGGTCAGAAGTTCAAGGTGATCTTGTTGGCTAGTTTCTGTCAACTTGACACAAGCTACAGTTATTGGAAAGAGGGAATCTTAATTGAGGAAATGCCTCCATAAGATTGGCCTGTCAGCAAATCTATAGGACATTTTCTTGGTTACTGATTGATATATGGGAGGACCAAACCAGTGCCACTGCTGGGCAGGTGGTCTAGGGTTGTATAAGAAAGCAGACTGAGCAAGCCACAGAGAGCAAACCAATGAGCAGCACTCCTTCATAGCCTCAGCTTCAGTTTCTCTCCATGTTCCTGCCTTGGGTTCCTGCCCTGACTTCCCTGAGTGATATAAGTGGTGAGCGGAGATTAAACTCTTTCCTCCCCAACTTGCTTTTGCTATGGTCTTTATCACAATAATAGGAGTGAAGCCTCTGCTAAATAGTGAATCTGAGGCCAGCCTAGGCTACATGAGACCCTATCTCAAATAAAACAACTCCTCAAACAAAAACATTCAATTCTGCTGGTTTGAGTTAAGAATGAGCCCAAATTATGTGACACACAAGATTTGATGGCTTGTTACCACAGTGTAACCTAACTGATTCTTACTAATACTTATGCAAATAGCTTGTTGAGTGCCTTCTTTGTTTGGTCCATTGTAGAGGGATTTTAATTCAACAATCTTTAATCCTCTAATCTCTCTGGATGGAACACAGGCATGCCTTTAGTACACATCTTTAATCACAAACAATGAAGGTAAAGTTATTTTGTAGAAGAAAGCACCCATATTTGAAAATGATGTCTGATTGAATGGCAGACAAAGTGATGAATCAGAGAAAGATTTGATAGGATAGGATATGCCCAAGTCTCATGAGAACAAAGAGAAAAGAGGGGCTACTTAAGAGGGAACAGTGGGAGAGAGAGAGAGGGAGAGCAAGAAAGAGAGAGAGAGAGAGCAAGAGAGGAGAGAGGGAAAGAGAGGAAAGGAGGGAGAGAGGGAGAGGGAGAGGGAGGGAGGGAAAGATAGATAGATAGATAGATAGATAGATAGATAGATAGATAGATAGATAGATAGATAGAAGTTTTACCAGGACAGTTGTACAGAGACAGGTTGTGGAGAGAGAACAAGCTAGACACAGATGAAGACAGAATGAGCTAGAGAATGAAAAGGAGTCAGAAGATTAGAACATACACCAAAGTTAGAATAAAGCCAAGCAGAGCAATTTAGTCAGAAGCTAGAAGCAGCCAGTTTGAATCAGTCTGTGTGAAGAGGAGTTTTGAGCTAGAATAGCTGAGTTGACTATCTAGCCAGAGTTCAGAAAGAGCTAGAAAGGGTGAGCTTACTCAGCAGTAAGTCTCAGAGGCTGAAAACATTCTAGGTCTAGATGAGATTGTGTGGAGGCTAGATGTGTCTAGGACTCGGCCTATCTTAGCAGAAAGAGGCAGTAAGCCTCTGAGATGACAGTTTCGTCAGGCAAATAAAAGATACCTTTACAGATCATAGTCTAGGTGCTTATGTCTTCGTTTACCTTTTAACAGCCTGTACAGTAGATATCATTTCCATTTTGTAGAGAAAGAAGGCTGTCAGTGTCAGACTCAAGCTCCCAAAGTAGTAGATTTCAAACTTTTCAGTAGGATGGTAGCCAGAGATCTTTACTAAGAAGACCCAATAACTAATATCAAACTTTAGTCTATAGATAGTTTAGTTACAGGTTTGGGTACCCACAAAGTCTCAAAGTGTCTTAGCAAGAAGTGGCCAGGTAGACTGAATTCCTCAGAAGTAACTCAGGCTTGTGTCCTTTAGGAAAGATAAAATGCAGTTCAAGATAGGGGGTCTTAGCTTGTGTTGTCCTGGGTGAGAAACAGAGGGTTCCGGGACATATGCTGTAGTTCTCAAGTCTCCTGTGTACCCAGACACTGCTGGGGACCATGAGGGGGTGGGAATGGGGTCTACAGGCCCAGGCAGGAATGGGATGGCTGAGCCCACGATGCGGGGGGGAGGAGATGGCTGAACCCAGGATGGGGGAGGAATGGCTGAGCCCAGGATGAGAGGGGGTCCAGTTTTGTTCCAATTGAGTGCCAAAAGTACAGAGGGGCTAGAAGGGAGGCCATTGGGAGATTTAGGTGTGGCTCTTTACAATGAAGGCCTACCCTGGAGTGATCCTTGATGAAAGAGACAGTTCTTGCTTATCTAAACTGCTTTATTCATGGTGGATGTGAGTGACTAGGTCTTACTCAGGGTGAACCAGGGGTTAAGTACGCTTTGCAGGAAGGGATGCCTGCTTAGGAAGGGAAGCTCATTGGCTAAATACTTGGAGCCTATCTAGATACCTCATTAGCATGGAGAACTCTAGGTTTTTATGCTATGTGACCTGTTGCCATAGTCCTCTTAGTGGGGTGTCATGGTTGCATGTTCCAGGACAGGTAGAGCCTGGCTGGGACCTGGTTCTAATGCCTGCTAGTCTCGATTATGAGAGTTACCCGGGATTTTTGAACCTTCTTCAGCCTTACCAGTTCTGTCTTGTGTCATGAAGCATCTGCCCCACAGTGGGTGGTTCTGCTGGGCCATTGTTGCAGAGCGGTGGTTGGCCAAGTTGTTAGTTGAATTATTGGCCTTGCAACAGCAACAAAAGATGCTGGATGCCATGCTTTGGTGGTGTTGGAAAGAGGAAAAGGTATTGGGTACCTGGCTGTGCAGCTCCAACCTCAGAAACCCATTGTTGTTTAAGCGGTGGGGTCACACTGGTCCCCCCACCCACCCACTGGCAAGCCTCTTGGGCTTCCTGTGGCCTCCTAAAGCAAGTCCAACTGTCTACTTCCTCCACTCTGAGGGCCAGCCACCCTTCTTTATTGTTCAAGGCTCACCTGTCTGTAGAAGGGTGATAGGCCTGTACTCCGGTGCTCCCCCTTCATTCAGCAGGTGGTGATGGAGGTTGTTTCTTACAGCCCACTGGCTGGGCTCTTTCCTGAATGAGCTAGACACTATGGCTGACTCGTGTCCATTCATTTTGCCAGCTCAGCTGAGAGAGAACTTTAGTACATGCTGCCTGTGCACAGATTTTAAGAGAACTATCTTCTGTTTCTGAAGGGTGTGTGCTGGATGAGCCTGCGGTACCTGAAAGTCCATTTCTCATCAGGAAAACAAGAAAAGCAGTTTAATCCAGAGGAACATCTGTTTCCTTATTCACTGTAGCTGTGGGGTGACGGTGGGTGCTCATGAGCAGTTTCTCTGCCTGCTGTCCCCTTTTTTCATGTCCCTCATTAGTTTCATTTCATTCCAGTTGGGCCTAGATCCAAAGGAGCAGGATTATGAAGCTCATTCAAGCCCTTGCCTCACTGTTAATTGCTATGTGGCTGAGGGCTAGCTCATGCCTGTCTCTGGACTAAAGGTCACATCAGCAACATAGCTGGTTAACTGGACCATCTTCCCAAGGCTCTGGTGACCCAAGGTTGTAAATCTACCTTATGTTCAGTCTCTGCTCTCTCTTTCATGTCCTGCTCCAGATCCCTCTTCTCTAGGACCAAGCCCCTTTAGAGAAAAAAGATGACAGATGGGTTGCTCTCAGAGACAGGGATCGATCACCATCACCTTTGGGTCCCTGGTTACATCATAACTCGGGGCAAGAGTGCGTGTCTACTCCATGTTGAATGAATGCCTGGGCCTTCTCTGACTGTTGAGTGACACTCCATTCCAGTCTCCCTTCTACCAATGGGATTTTACTCCCTTCTTGTAAACCAGCCTCATTTAGGTCTTTGCCATTCAAATGGGAAGAGAATCAGTCTCAGCACCAGGCATGCTGACTTTCATTGATCATTGAGGGCAGGTCCATTGACATCTGAGGCTCATTTTTCTATTGTTTCTTCTGTATATGTAATGCTGAATGGTATCCCACTGTTTTCAGAAGGAACCAAGGCTTAGAAATGTAACTTGTCCAGGTGTCACAGCCAAGAGGCACAGCAGGGACTTCAGTGGCTTTACTCTCTGTTCCATTACTGGGGAGCATCTGGTACTCTGGAAACTGATGGTGGGGAGCTTACATAACAAGGCTCCACCTGAAGACTCACAAGAGTGATATCTTAGTTAAGCACACACACTTTATACTTAAGTGGACATAGGATCTTAATTTCTATAACACCTAGCTGTGTGATCTAGAGCAGGGTTTTCCTCCTTGAAGCTCAGCTTACCTCTCTGAGGAATGGGGTGATAAAACCTCTCAAATGATGTGAAGATTGTGGGCATGCAGTTCTAAGGTGCTTAGCATGGCATCTTGTACACAATAAGTACATATGTCACCAAAAGACAGTGACACAGGGGCCATAAGACCCTTTTTTTTTGCACCACCTATGTCCCTCTTAGTTGGATGTAGAAGCCAAAGAGGAGAGCCTTTGTCTTGTCTGCAATAGACTGTGAGCTTGATGTCTTTAGAGACTTCACACCACATTGACCAGATGAAACAAAGTCACTGTTGAGGCCAAGGCAATAGGCTTCTTGAGTTGGAGAACCCTTTTGGGTCATCTAGCACAGATGGGAAGTCAGGAGCCAGAAGGGGAAACAGTGGTGGAGGCCAAGAGATAATGTCTGCGTTGGAAGCAAGTAAATTGGTGTACAGGAGTGTGGGGACATTGTCATTCCTTTTGTGTAGGGAGATCACCCCCCTCTCTTTTACCTTTAAGCTTCTGTCACCTGCTGGCTGAGTGGACAGGAGACTGTGATGTCACAAAGCTGGGAACTGGGGAATGTTGGTGACAGGGCTTCTGAACTGGAGCATAAGGCAGGGAGGAGGCAGGTTGTCTTGCTGACTTCTCTGCAGTGGTTTGTCCCGCTGTGCACAGTGTATTAGGTTGTTGGAAGGGCTATCTCCTGTCCTTGGATTAGTAGGCTAGATAGGATGTATTCTTCTTCTGAGAGAGCTAGACCTACTTTGTAAATAGAGGTCTAAGTAAGCCCCTTCCATGGCCCACCTGCTCAGTTTCCTGTGTGAGGCCACCTGGATACTTCTCAACATGGCTGCCCTTCATCTCCTGGTCTGTGCCACTGTGCTAGATTGGACATCTGTCCTTCCATGACCCAAAGACACATCATTCTGATATAGTCAGTCAAAACAATGCATTGAAGCAGATACAGCGGGAAGGAGGATTTAGGCTCAGTATTGCCTCATGCTCCAGTAGACACTATTGCTGTACAACATTACAAATTAGGAAACTGAGGCACATGGAGTCAGAGGCTGAACATTTTATCAGGTTAGGCACTGTCTGATCTCTTGTCCTAGTTGTTTGTCAGCCTGGCAAAGAATATATGTATCATCTGCTGTTGACACTTCGTATTCTGTCCTGGCCTCTGCTGGATCAGGAACATGCTCAGAGGTGCTAGGAGACTGTCCCCATTGGCTGGACTAGGTCCACCAGGTAACAGGGATCATCTACACCTGAAGGTTGCACATTAGTAGCCTTTCTATGCTGTAAGCCTCATCTATAGTGTGAAGGAGCATGCTCACACAGTCCAGGAAACAGGAAAGGGGTCCTTGAATGATGGGCTATTTAGCCCACTACACACTTTAAACGCTTCTATGAGGAAATGAATGAAAAAAAAATCCCCAATGCAAGAAACAAAAAGAGCATGACAGGGTAGATAGCGCAGGAGGTAAAATCAGTGCTACCCAGCCTGACCACCTGAGTTCAATCCCTGACCCATCACGGAAGGAAAGACTCCTACAAGTTGTACTCTGACCTCTGCTGGTAGATCCTAGTGTGGCCCCTCCCATTAAACAAACAATTGAATGTAATAAAAACTAAAAGACAAATACTACAACAGTAATAAAAACTGTCTAATATTAAACCCAGAAATTACACTAGAGAACAAAAGTAACAAAACCAAACTAATAAATCTTTTGAAAAAAAATATAGACCAATGAAGTGGAAGAACTTGGTAGCAGGAACTGAATCAAATAAGTGACTTTAGTTTTAATCAACTCTACATGCTGGGCAAGTGGCCTGTTACTGAGTTCCTCACTAAATCTCCTCAGCAAGCAGTCTTGTGGGAGCCTGTGTGCCCAGTGCCTCCTGGTGCCAACTACTGGAGAGGGCTCCACATGGGAAGCTTGACTCTGATTCATTGGAAATATCATTTTGAACTGAGATCTGGTTGTGCTGGATGTGCTGGAACCCTTGAAATGTGTGACACTCATAAGGACTGCATGGAACCCATAGCCTTGGGAGAAAAGGCTCTAAGGCACTTTGAGACAGTTGATGGAATCTGAATAGGGTTGTTTTAGTAGGAGATGCTTTGGCTTTTGGTACTTGCTGGAATTAAAGGATATCCTTGCCTAAGAGAAGTGCTCTATGAATGATTTAGGCAAAGGGGCAGGCTGCTTGCTCTCAGACCATTCGGGGAAAAATATAAATATGATAATGTGAGAATAGTTTTCTTTTCCTTTTTTTCCCTCTAATTTTTTTCCTCTTAAGACAACTTTCCTGTAAGTTTGAAATTATTTCAAAAGCTACTCACAAATTTGAACTTCTTGTAGGTTATTTGAAAGTGACAGTATAAGAACTGATAACTGTAAGATCTGAGGCAGGCCAGAGACGAGAAGACACATCCTCTGATGCAAACAAGAATTTTACTTGCAGGCAGCCCCTCTCCCTGGCTGTCAGAGGCTGGGGTGACTCATGCTGGTGGCACAGGGATGGCTCAGACCTCTTCCCTCCTTGCGGTGGAGTTTCTGAATTAGTCTTCATGACTCCTGTCCACTTCCTTCTTCATCCTCATGGAGACCCTCCAGCAGCTGCACAGCTCAGAGCCTGTGTGCTGCTACCACTAGAACCCTCAGGGTCTCCCGATGAGACACGGTCTGAAGACCCAGTGTTCCTGGTAGTAGCGGTTTAGATTTTTTTTAGGGTATCCTGTTTGTATATTGTATGCAGTCAGCTCTGAAAGAAAGAAAGCGTGCTGTTGGGTGGAAGCTTTTGAGCTAGAGTTGGATGAAGTGCTGTGATTGTATCTATCAGATGGGTTTCCAGATCCTGTGAGTTCCATGGGGGCCCAGGCACTCTGCAGCTTAGTCAGCAGGCCTGGTATCATTCTGCATGCTGGAGTCTCTGACACTAGAATGTCTTGCAAGGCACAAGACAATGGAAACAGGAAACTTGGGCCTATCCTGACTTAGACACAGATGGGTGTTCCCTGGTAGGATACTGTATTATCCCTTTCCCACTGTGGATCTTAGTTCACTTGGTCATGGACAAGCCAGAGAAGACCCCAGCTCCTCACCCTCAGTTTAAGTGGAACAGGTATGAGTTTGTAGGAAAACTTACCCTGCAGTGGGCTCATGTTTGCAACAGGGGCTTGACTTATAGGTGGGTTCTACAGTGAGGAGGTATGGGTGATGCTTGTCTATCAATGGCCCCTTGGGGATAGACGCTGTGTGAGGCCATCTGGGCACAGGATGCATTTCTGTCAACATGGCTCCCTTCATTCTTTATAGTTGTGCCACTGTTCTAGGTTGGACATTTGTTCTTCTGTGACTCAAAGACATGTCACCCCAACTGAGCTCAGTATTCTTATTTATTGCTCATTGGACATGTACTCGTTTGGCTTTGGGGAAACATCCGAGAACAAAACCAGTGTGGACCTGCCACTCTGGAACCCGTCTGGACCATGAGTCTGGAACTCAGTGTGTAGCCTCCAAAGTAGAGATTAAGCAGAATCACACAAAGTACACAGTGGAGACCACACCACGGTGCCCGTAAGCGTGTGAGTGCACGGGTGTGGAATGTTCTTTCCTCCCCGACCAGCTCCTTCTAATGCAGTGCTTTACTTGGAAAAGAATGGCTAGCCTCAGACTCTGTAGCCTCCACAGCATCCTCTGGATTGTGATCACAGCTAGCTCACATACCCATAGGGCCTGGGCATCAGGAAAGAGCCTCTTTTCCCAGAGGTCACTGTCAGGACCTCTCTTTGGGACTCACCTTCAAAATCACTGCTGGTAGGGGAGAAGTTCTTTTCTTGGCCAACGAGGGACTTCGTGTTAGTTTCCTTGAGGTTTTGTTCACATAACTCATTCTTCTCAGTCTTCAGATAATCTGACAATGAGAATTCCATGGGGAGGGGGTCATATGGGAAGGCTCAGCCAGTCATGGAAATGAGGGTATTGGAGCCAACTGAAGCAGCACATAAGTGGTGGATATTATGGGATGGAGAAAATCCTATTTCTCCTTTGAACAGGTGCTGAACTTAAAAATACATATTTTTTTAAAAAAAACTGATTTATTTATTCATTTATTTTATGTGCAATGGTGTTTAGCCTGCATGTATGTCTGTGTGAGGGTGTCAGATTTCTGGAACTGGAGTTACAGATAGTTGTAAGCTGCCGTGTGGGGGTGATGGGAGTTGAAGCCGGGTCTCCTGGAAGAGCAGAGTAGCCAGTGCTTACAACCACTGAGCCATCTCTCCTGCCCTAAAAATATGTATTTTTTTAAAAAAGTATCAACTTGTTTCTTATTTTTCTATTTTTAAATGTAATGTGCATCCATTTCAAAAAGGAAAAATGCTCCCAACTCTTCTCCTCCAGATACAGTTTTTCCTTAAGCATATTTTAATATAGCTTAGCAGTGTATTGTGTATGTGGTTCATTTCGTTCATACACACTATATACATCTTTACCATGTTAGTACATTAAAATGTAGTAGTTGTACAGTATTCGTCTTTATGGCACATTCAAGACTTACTTAACCAGTTGACGATTGTTGTGTGTTTAGACTTTCTGTCTTCAAATTTTACTACTATAAAGCTTGGTAAGGATTATGCTTAAGCCTTTATGTCCTTCCAGAACAGTAACAGAGAATGTGAGGGACAGGCTCAGCTCTCCGGAGCAGGTGCGACAGCTTTGCGACTGGCTGTGTAAAGAGCATACCACCTCTGCTCATACTTGCACTCCCTTGTTGTGGGTGATAGTGCCCACCTTAGAGCTGCAGTGCTGGTGGAGAGACACTTGTCCTGAGCGCACCGCGGCATGATGGGGGATTCACCTAGAGTTGCACAGTGCTGTACACATGCTGCCGAACCAGAGACTGAACGCTGTCATTATTATCTTAGAAAAGGGAGTTCGTATTTTTTTAAGACCTTGCTCTTCATTTTTAGTGTGAAGCTATTTTCAGAATCATTTTAAAAGCTCTCAAGGGCTTCTGTATGTTCCTACCATGAGGATATTTTCCTGCCTCTTGTCCCCTTTCATCTGACAGTAGGACTGTGACAGATTTCCACCAGAACTCTATCTTGCTGTATTCCAGCGAGTCTTAGCTTTGCCTACTTTTGATAATAATGCTTTTTTTTCTGTCTGATGTTGCTGGTTTTGATCTCTGTCTTTTCTGTCCTGGGCCACCAACGAAGGCTATAATACAAACTGGAGGCTGAGATATCTTTTCTGTTTTCCTCTCCTTCCCTGATACAGAACCATGGGGGTCTCTTATTTCAGAGGATGGAGATGAGAAAGAATGGTGGTGTGTCCTGGACTTCGATGAAGAAGAAATACTCATTCATTTTGTAAGCCATCAGAACTTCAAGGCTTCTTAGCAGAAGACTTTATTCTAGTCTCCCCAAGCCTATCCATTCTTATTCCTTCACCACACCTCCCTCACCATGATTCCTCAAGTGTATTATAAGGTGTATAGTCCCATTTTACAGGATAGGCTAGTTGAGGCTAGCTGAGGCACAGATTTGTTCAACACCTGTGACAGAACTGAGACTCAGAGTGGCACATCAGATCCAAAGGCAGAGAGCTTAACTATCATCTTACATGTCTTAAAGTCTTTAGGTTTGTTCCTCAAATTAC